GAAAGACCTTGCTGCATTACTTTTGGCTGTATCTTGAGGCGTTCCCGAACTGACTACTCGCCCAAGAATGCCTTTCTAAACTTCTGATATTTTTCTTCGGCGGCAGCAACTGTCTTCTGGAGCTTCTCCCTTTCCTTCTGGAACCTCTCCTCGGTGGACTTCTGGAGCTTGTCCTTCTCCTTCTCCAGTTTGTTGATGCGGGACATTGCCAGCCTCGTTCGGTCCCCCAAACTGACAAAGTGCAGGTTGGCCTGCAACAAAGCCAATTAGTAAAATAAGGAGGAAGAAGAGGAGGAAATACATAAGATACAGAGCAACAAAAAAATAATAATAAAAAGTACATGTCTTACCCCGGCCAGATGGTACAGGCCCTCAGCGTAGATGGCCTTGGAGTCCCCTTCTCAAAGCTGTCACTATGGAAGAAATATTTTGTTGGCCCCCTCGGCTCTCCCGGGGAGCTCCTGCACCGATGGTATAGCTGAAGAAGGTCCGGATGGACGCTCCCCAAGCGCGGATCTCCTCGCCACCTCTTCCACCGGGCATTTGGCATTGGCTACCTTCCGTGGTGGCTTCTCCCTCGGCGTGTCTATAGCGGGCCTCTTCCGACCCGCCTTGGCCCCCTTTGTGGGCCTCTTAAGCTCCTTGGCCCCCTAGCTGGCTTCTTCGGTGCCTCCACTAACTTCTTGGCCCCTTTGAGGGCCTCTTCACCCCACCAGCGAGCTCCTAGGGCATCACCACCAGTTGCTTCCCCTTGGCGGGGACTTGTCGATTTCCCCCCTTCGCCAAGACAGGGGGCAACCTCTTCGTCGGGCCGCTTCGGCATCTGTGCCCCTGCCGTCTTCCCTTCCTGCTTCGTGTGGGCCTTCTCGAGTAATCGTTGCTTAGCGTCCATTGGCACTTCTATGAATAGCAAAAGAAGACAGTTAGTATAACAAGACGAAGACGTGGAAGGCGTGCTAAGTGACTACAAAACCTCTCCTACTGAGGGGGGCAGGGCTAATCCCAGTGAACACTAGGGGAACCTCCTCCTCCACCAACAACTTCGCCTGGAATGTCCCCATCACAAGCAGATGAACCACGGCAGCAGCCTCTTCATCTCGGAGTGGAGGGGGACATCTTTCGACGACTACACAGGCCTCCCCCCAGTCAGACCTAAACCTTTAGCCTTCGAGGTAGGAGACGTAGAAGAACTTGTCCTTCTACCCATGGACGGACGAGGGGTTGTGCACCAGCTTCCCTCTCCACGGATGGAAGTAATACATGTTAGCCTCGGAAGCATGCTTCCTTGGCGCGAACATGGCATGAAACATTTTTAATGTTAGCTCCACGTCCTGAAGCCGAGCCCACACTAACATCGCCATGATGGTCGTAACGACATTAGGGACGAGTTGATTGATAGTGATACCATACCACTCCAGTAACTTAGAAACAAAGGAAGGGAGGGGAAACCTAAGGCCATACTCTAAAAAATGCTAGTAGACACAGATTTCCCCCTCGTCAGGGGTCCACGGCTGGTCACCTACGTCGAGAACCCTAAGATCATTGGACCAGGGTTTGTAGAATCTTCTCGCCAGGGATTTGACCTAGCCCACATCTAAGAAGCTATCAAACTCCAAGCATGGGCCACTAGCGTCAGCCACCCTTCGAGCAGCGCTTCCTTCCACCGGTCTAGCGGCGAGCTCCACACCATCTTCCTCCTCAGCTAGAGGAGACCCTTCGGGCTCCCTCAACGATGCTAGTGCGGTGCTTTCATGGGGAGAGTCATTACCCCGGCGGCAGCCCTTAGCACCCCCCAAGGCTACCCTTTCCCTCAATATAGATACCTCCCGCAGAGGAGGGGCTATGGCCAAAGAACCTAAGGAGGAGAGAGGGGAAGGAGTTTGAGGAGAGCTCCCTCCCGAGGTGTTCAGGACTTCATGGCACTCAGGGCCGGAGTCGGAGAAAGACATTGTGAATTACCTAGACGGTGAAGAAGGTGAAGACAGGGTATCCTGAAGGATTGAGAACCTAGGAATGTCCTGAAGGATTGAGATCTTGGGAGCTAAGTTCACTCGACAGCAAGCGCCTAAGTTTAAATGACGGGGAAAGTCACCACCAGGGCCCCTATTTAAATGAAAATGGACGGCCTAGATATCGCTGGATCCGACGGCTGAGGCACCTCCGCTTCCACCATCCAACCATAATGCACCATCTGGCACTCATCCTCAGAAGATGAAACGACGCCCAAGCAACAACTCAGATCACTACGGATCCGACGGTCATAGGGACCCTCTGCTTCTGCGGACCAGCTATACCACACCTCTCAACGCATGCCCTCGGAAGACGAAATGACATTGGGCAAACTGCGAGGCTCACCTGATGCAACCCGCCAGGTGAACCGTGGGGCCTGCCCATTGTGACCCACCAGGCAAACTGCTTAGCCCGGTAAACGCGCGCCTATTAGGGTGACTGTCTTCCTCATGGTGGACCCTTGACGCGACCTGACTGTACGTAATACGAACCATCCCCGCTAACCTGAGGCATCCACGCCACACGCATCCTTGACCGGATGAGGAGGGAAGACGCATACGAGGTGAAAGTGACGCAACTGCAGAATACCCCTCGACTGATGAATCCAAAGGCATAACAATCGCTACTTCCGATGACCGAAGCCGAGGCCTTACCTCGACTCTCATCTCCATTACTAGCCAAAGTCAAGACCTCGCCTCGCCTCGGCCTCGGGAGTGGGGGTCAAGTGATGTGGGCTAGAGAGGTCTAGCCCATTACGAGCTGGGAGGCCCAGCCCACTAACGTTTGACAGCACTAGCCACGACAGGGGGGAAGCCCTGCTGCCTTTGTACGGAGCCAACCGCGGAGCAGTTGGACGTACTCGCAAGGACCTGTCGCCTGACTTCGTACGGCTCTCATCTGGTGCGTTCATCTCCACCTACCTCCAACTCGCTCAAATATAAATATGAGGTAACTCTCCCTTGACAAGGGATCTAGATCCCGGAATTCAGATACATCTCTGTCATTTACTTCCAGTGCCTTGAGTTAAATCATTGCACCTACCTCTCTTCATTAGCATTTACTCTTGGGGACCCAGTGCATCCGAGGACTACCATCTAGACCTCGTCTGCACCTTCCCCCACCTTACACCTCGTACTAACTTGAGCGTCGGAGCCTCCGCCTTGGGTTTCCACCCGAGGCCTTTGACATCTCTTGTTTTGCAGTACCTCGGATCTGCAGGAATCTCGCCACCGAGCCGACGACCTGCAACCCTCGGCTTCTAGCGTATAGAGAAGGGAGCATCCCGCCTCAACCTACAGTCCTCGGCCTCTGCTTACCCTCCTCTGAATTCTCAAAGCCTTTAACCTGCTTTCGAAACTTGGAGGTGAATTTACCTCGTTGCCCTCTTCTAATCCGAGCAGCAACACCAAGTACAACATGAAGGTTACATTTCTATTTGTACAATGAGGAAATGATAGATCTTTTGGCTCCCGAAAAATGCACAAAATTCATTGATGACAAGTCAAAGAAACCAATAGACCTCATGGAAGATGGAAAAGGGGATGTTTTGGTAAGAAAACGGAGCCTAGACATCTTCTCTCCCGTCCTACTGCTACAGTAGTGGGTTTGCTTCCAACTGATATCTTGGCATCTGGTTTGCCTCCAACTTCATGCTTGGGAGAATTCGATTGCTTCCAACTGATATCTTACAAGTCCAAGTCCCGGTGCCTGTTTCCGTTCAACTAGAATCATTTTTGTATTTTAGAGGACAATGGAGGATTTTGTTGCATCTAGCTGATATCTTACAAGGTCCAAGCCACGGTTCTCGAACCCAAAACCATGGAAGCTTTAGCAGTGAAGATCTTAAAGTAAAATTTGTATATGAAAAGAAAACTGAAATTTTCTGTTGTCGTTTATAAAGAACAAACAAACCATCACAAGAGACTGTAATAGTCTTGTTTACGAGCGGAGGTTTTTATCCGTCTTACAAAAGAAGGGCAAAAGGTAATATTAGGTTTTAAAAAAATATTTGTCACATGGTGTCACATCCAAAAACTTAAAAGTTACTCTAATATAATATATAAACAGTAATGGTAAAATTAATCAATTAACTAAATCACAAGAATAGTTTAAGAAAATTTCCCTTTTATTATTATTATTAGAGAAAATTTTTGATTAGTTCTTTGTACTTTGGGCCTTGTGCCACTTTGATCCCCGAACTTTAAAATATGACAATTTAATATCCGAATTTTCAAAACATGTCAATCTAATACCTACCGTTAACCAACTATTAAGTGGTTTTTGAAAAAGATACAAAGGCCCTTCGAGTGCCATCTAATTTTCTTTATCAACCATCTAAATGTTGACAAAAAAAAAATAACAATCCTAAATCTTTTCTTCTTCTATTTAAGAAAGTTGGGGTTACGTCGCAATGACATTCTAGACCCCAATTTTCTTGAATAAAAGAGAAAAAAATTTAAGATTGTTAATTTTTTGTCAATGTTTAGATGATTGATAAAGAAAATGGTAAATTTCTTAAACTATCCTTATAGTTTAGCTAATTGACTAAGTGTACCCTTACTGTTTGAAAATTGACTAATGCAACCTTTACTCTTTCTCACAATTGACTAATACTTCCCTTACCATTAATGTTCTGTCATAAATACCATTCAAATGTGTATTATATGACTTATAACTTTCAAAAATACCGAATTTACCCTTATTATAACTTCCAACACTACCGGCACCAGCATCGGCTTCGATGGAATATCTCATTGTCCCCTCTAGCACCGGCTCTAACACACCAGCACTGGCATCTCCGGCACCGACTCTTAATTGCCTCTCTCCTCTTTAAATTATTAAAAATTATAAGGAAATTTAATACAGATCCAACGGTTCTAGTCATCCCATCACGTATATCTCCCGATCCACGAGATGTCCCAAGTCTCAATTCAAAGGTTAACATCTAATTTTACATTAATTGACTTTCCCCTTAAGTTAGTTGTTCTGAGCGCTGAGACGACCAGGAGTAGTGGAGCTGAAGTCTGAAGCTCAACATCGGCCTGCACCTTCACTGGTAACGTGTGTCCCACATACGATGTTGCTGCTGTACATCGCCATTTTAGGTTTTCCCTCTATGTGCTAGGACTTTCGTTCTTCAGACCGACCGTGATCGTTAAAAAATCATCTTTGTGACCAAATCCCAACCTACAGCCATTGAATTCATATTAGAAACTGAAATAATACACCGATTGAAACAGATTCAACAACGGATGGCAAAGATTAAACCTTGTATTTGTCCTGTAGATTTTAATTTGTATTTGTACTCTTCCCAAACAGAGCCTTTTTAATAATTTCTGAGTTTACAGGCGTTTCTTCTTAGAGAGAGTAAGCAATCAGATTTAGGAATTTCATAAATTTATTCACTTGATATCCATCTGTGTTTGAGCAGATCTTGAGAATATATAGAAAAAGACTTTTCATTAATCCTAAGTCTGAGCCATACACAGAGAGACTAATTTTTAACTACCAACCATTCAAAGCACTCACATCCGAAGAAGTTGCAGGAAAAATGAAAGAATGGTAAGTCCTACCTTTCACCACTAATATAGAGTGCGTAGCTACATGTGATTCAAGCTTTCAACTAACAAGAGCTTATTCCAAGATGAAATTTGGACCAAGTTGCACCAATATAACGATATGATATATTTTGTAGATGATAGAACTCATCATGATTTTGAGTACTACGCAAAAATGCATGTTGCATGATCTCTATCTACCGTTCAATATGAACAGAAAGAGAAAGTTCTAATTTCTAAACTGAGGTAAGCCCTCATGATGATGTCTTTTTTTCCTGTTTTTTCTTTTCATATTTTATCTCGTCATATACTACACTGTGGTCGATCAGTTAGATCTTATCCGAATATATATGCCCGATGGATCGACTTCATTCCTGGGGAAGCTCGTGACGAAGAACCCAGGAATTTTGTACTTGAAGTTTTCAGTATTAAAGAAGACCATTCAATAGGCAAGAAAGCTGGAATTACTAGATGAAACCAGTTGGCTAATTCCCAGAACCCAATGTTTAATTTAATGGTGTTCAGATCTCTGCAGGCTTAGTAATTAAATGGTTTGAATGATGGACCACGGGAGTTGTAGCGGCGGCGAGGAGGGTTTTGAAGTGGTCGGAGTACAGCATCGGAGAGGGTTGCAGCGGTGGGAGAGGGTTGCAATTTGCGTCACAATGTAGCGTGTCCTGGGGAGAGAGAAAGCAGCTCAGATACAATGGAAAGAACTCGGCGGCGGAATTTGGGAACGATGGAATGAAAAGAAAGGAGGAGGTCAGAAGGATTAAACAAATTTGATAAATACTTAAGTCCACACCACCCGTTAGCGTTCATTTTCCGTTAGTTTCGAAGTGAGTGGGCGAACATGACGTGGTCGAAAAGTATTGGATGGGACAGAAAATTTTCTGTCCCTACGGGACAGATGATCCGAATTGGGTTTTGTGTGTTCACTACAATGGAAATTTTCTGGTGGTTAAAGGTGGAAAATTGAATAGAGTTTCTGACCTCCTGGAAGCGGAGATTAGATGTGCGCAACTTTCTGCATGTCTATTGTCGATATCATTTGATTCATTCATACCTTTCCGGGTTCGATGTGCGCAACTTTCCGCTCTTGATTGTCTGACGCTCTCTCTGGCTATTATACCTTTCCGGCAAGATGGATTTACCCACGATTCACAGTCCTGTTTTATGTAATTGAGGAGCTAATTAGATCGCTAGGAACCGTACATTACTTGAGGGGAGGGGAGGGGACAGAATCACAGAATGATGTTAGGTTCGTTGTTATCGAAGGAGAGAGGTGGGAGGGTAATTACAAGAAGTTTTAGGGTTTTCAGCAGCAAATGCAGAAGAGCAGCGTTTGGGGTAATGAGCTGGGGAGATGGCAGCCAAGGTGCATTGGGTTTGGGTTCCTGTTTGGCTGCTACAGCGGGAGTAGAAGATGCCTATGAACCCACACGGATCGAAGGCCTGCCGGACGATGTTCTGAGTATCGGTGCCGGCCACTACCACTCCCTTGCTGTGACTGCTCAAGGTGAGGTCTGGGCTTGGGGCAGAAACAATGAAGCGCAGCTCGGCCGAGGTCTTTCATCTCCTAGGTTCTCTATTTCTCTTTCCCTCTGATAGATGAATACTAAACATAGAAAGCTAGATTTTGCTGATGTTGTGCATTCGACACGTATAGCAGAGAATCATGGAATAGACCAGAGAAAGTACTGGGATTGAATGGAGTAAGAACTAGAGCTGCATTTGCATCTGGTGTTGTATCTACAGCCATTGGCGAGGACGGTTCAGTGTGGGTCTGGGGGAAGTCCAAGCGCGGCCAACTAGGCCTTGGTCAAGGTATAACCGAAGCTGTGCTACCTTGCAGGGTCGAAGCACTTGCAGCAAATCACATTGTGAAGGTACGTCCCTGAACTGGTTATTATTTATTTATGATGAATTAGAATCACCCTTCTTATTTGCTTTATTTTTCTTAAACAGGTTTCACTTGGGTGGGGTCATGCTCTCGCCCTATCTAAGGATGGACAATTGTTTGGATGGGGTTATTGTGCAGAGGGCAGGTTGGGGCTGATTGGGAAAGAAGCTGAAGTCCAGCAGTCCACGTCCCCTCGCCTTTCCAGAGCTACAACCGTACCACCCAAACTCTCCAGTTCAGCTCTGGAAATGGCGGAGAAGCAAGTTTTGGAGGACATGAATGCAGAGAAAAACATGTCCATCATATGGGAGCCTCGTCTTGTAGAGGAACTCCGTGGTGTTCCCGTCTTAGATATTGCGTGTGGGCTTGACCATTCTCTGATCCTTTGCCGTAAGTTGTTTGTGTATATGCCTATATGAGACTTCTGTGCAAGTGCTTGTGCTAAATTGGGCTTTGTTTTCAGGGAATAACGCCCTTCTGAGTGGTGGAAACAATACATACGGTCAGTTGGGCAGATCAAATGAAGGTCCGTGGTTGCTGCCAGTTGATATGCCCTTTCGGCCACTGTCGATATCATCAGGCCTTGGACATTCCTTGGCAGTCTGTGAGGTTCCGAGATCCGAGGTCGATGGAGAGCCCACAACAGCCATTGTCTCGTGGGGATGGAACAGGAGCTCTCAGCTTGGAAGGCCTGGGCCAGAGCACATCCCGGCAATAACAGAGGGACTAGCAGGAGAAATACCCATTTCAGTGTCTGGTGGGCGCGCACATTCCATTGCTCTCACCTCCAAGGGGAATCTGTGGGCCTGGGGTTGTGGAAAAAATGGAAGACTTGGGTTAGGAAGCTCAGCTGATGAAGTTGAACCTGCTCTGGTTGAATCCTTGGAAGGTTTTGAACTTCTGCAAGCTGTATCTGGTTTTGACCATAGTTTAATCTTGGTTGCTGAGTGATTTAAATGGTGGCTTCGTTTTCCAACAACTCTAAGACTGCCGACATTAGTCCAATTCCTGTCTGACTTTCTTGTGGTTCACCTTCACATGAAGTTTTTTGTATGATACAGTAGTATTTATTTCTCTATCCTGATAGTATGAATTGAAAGGAATGATCTCATAAAGAAGAAAGGAATATTGTCTATTTCTATATCCCACCTTGTGAATTCGATCAACTTCTATTGAGATAGTAGAAATGCAATTTGAATACTACATTTTAGCTCATTCTATTCCCTCTCCCTCTATATCAACTTCTATATCCCACCTGTTGGAAGGCATTCTTTTTGATGATTATTGTAGTGGCTCAGGGCAATTTGGAACTATGTGAAATCTTCTATCTATTTAGCCCTAGTATACATAGGAGTCATGAGAGATTGCCGTGCATGTTAGTGTTAGGACTACTAGTAAGCATGAAATTATTTAGGTGGTCCATTATTTGGCTCTTGCTCCAAGAAAGCACATTGGGGTTTCCTTATTAACAAATTCCACTCAAAGTTGAAGAGTTGGAACGCTTCTATATCGCAGGGTGAACGCACTGTTTTGAGTGAGACCACTCTTTCTACTCTTCCCATCTACTAGATGGCAGATGTTCTCTCTTACCCAAAATAGTGTGGTACTCCATCGAAAAAATAACGTGTCAATTTTGGCGGGTTAAGAGTGAGAATTCTTAGATTCATCTCATGGCATGGAATCAAATATTTAGACCAATGACAATAGATGGATTGGATATTAAACGGTGACGTTGGATTAACCTCTCTTTTCTTATGAAACTGGCATGGTGTTTTCTTATTGAAGACCAAGCACTTTGGGCTCGGATATTCAAAATTAAATATTCATGTAGAGGGATGGGATTCGACACTATAGATGTCTATGTGAAAGTAGATTGTGAGGTGAAGGAGGTTAAGAGTAGTAGAGAGTTACAAAGAAAGAGGTTTCATATCTTGGATCTGGGATCTAAGAAGGGTTTTTGCAGGGAGTTTCTAGAGACTGAAAAAAGCATTTATAGGGACTCACAAAGTCTGTATGGGGAGAAAGAAGGACCCTTATTTATAGCTTTTCTGGAAGCTTTTCTTCTTCTAGAAAGTTCATTTCCAAAGTTTGCTATAAAGTTGTTTGATCTACACCATTTGGACCAGTCGGGGTGTCGCCACATTTTGCACTTGGTGTGAACACCCAACTGATTTGGAGCTTACTTCATGGCTGAATTCTCAAAGAACCACCAGCAATACGTTAACTTTTCCTCTATCTTCTCCCCCCCNCCCCCCCCCTTTACAAGTGGGTGTTAGTGTATGCATCAGCTCCAACTAGACTGATGTAATCTAATATTTATTACCGAATAAGATCAGAACATTTTTATTATATATATATATATATATTTTGATGTATTTCTATGTTTTACCCCTTATGTTGGATATTTATGAACTCATGTCACCTTTGAATGTTCTCAACCATTTAGTAAACATGGAAAATTTATCATATCATGGCTGACACTATTATACTGGCAAATTCATGGAGCAATTTGTCTAAATTACTAGGGTTAGATCTAAGGTACATTAAGTAGGTGTTTAGTGAAACACTAAATATGGACCATTTCTAGTTATGCCATGGAGCTTGGAGACATATGGAAAAAAACTAGAAAGTTGAATTCAACCCCAAACTTGAAAATGATACTTCACTATGTTTTGGACTAAGCCACTTTTGATATACCTACTAATGAAATCCATTTAGGGTCAAATACTAAGGTATATTGGAATAGTTTGGAATAACACTTGCATAGATAATCATTGTAATAGGATTAACACTTTGTCAGACAAAGGAAATACCCCAGAATACACGGTCTGTGATAGAAACCAAAATCTGTCACTAGTGGAATATGCAATATTACACCCTTTACTTGAATGTTATATATATAGAAGAGGTCCTTCTTTGTGGGTAGTATACTGATATTATTGCTTGGGAGGTTGAGATGAAACCCGAAGGGCACTTTTCTCAAGTTAAACTAATAGGATGGTTAAAACCCAAATCCCACTTATATTTAAGTGGCTTATATTTAAGTGTTAGGCCGGTTCTATGCCCAATAAAGATCCATCCGAGTAAAGGGTGTCATAATACATCTTGTAGTCAAAGAAGAGGTCATTCTCTGTGGGCAGCATACTGATATTATTGGCTGAGAGGTTGAGATCAAGTGTCTAATTGGGTTGAAACCTAATGGGCACTTTTCTCAAGTTAAACCATTGGCCAGGTTTGGGCTCATAGGATGGTTAAAATTCAAGTCCCACTTATATTTAAGTGTTAGACTGGTTCTAAGCCCAATAAAGATCCATCTGAGTAAAGGGTGTGATATTGCATATTCCAATCAAAGAAGAGCTCCTTCTCTGTGGGCAGTATACTGATACTATTGGATGAGAGGTTGAGATCAAGTGCCTGGTTGGGCTGAAACCTGATGGGCACTTTTCTCAAGTTAAACCATTGGGTTTGGACTCATAGGATGGTTAAAATCCAAACCCCACTTATATTTAAGCATTAGGCTAGTTCCAAGCCCAATTAGATTGGGTGGGTGGTTCACTAGCTTACACTAGTCAACTTGGCCCTTATGCTTTAATATATAGGTCAGACCCACATGGTTTAATTTGGGAGCTTAGTGGGTCCCATGACATACAACGTTTAAATCAAAAAGACTAGTTAGAGGTGTGCAATAAAAAGGAATACTTAAAAGGTCAATTTTTTTTTCAAAAAAAGCTAGTTTGATTAGGAAGATGGATAGTTGAAACATGATTTTAAAAATCAGACCAGATCAGATGGTGAGACCAATTGAGCCAAGAAGCAGTTATAAATACATAGATTTGGGCACTATAGGAATTGCATTAGAAGGACACTTAAACAGGTGACCACAGTGTGGTCACATTGCACCACAAGTTTAAACCCCCCACAGGTACCATAAGGATTGTGTTGAAAGGCATTCATTCATAGTCATAGCAAACTCACATTGTAGCATAAACCTAAAACTTCCATAACGCGATTCCACAATAGTAGTCCCTAAATCATAATAAAGGCTTGCACTTGTGATGTAAGGTATTGAATTATCATCATAAAGTATCAATGACTAGCTTAGGAACTTCGTTGCCACATACTTGTTCTACAACGATATATCACTGCAGCCTTCCCCGCATTACAATGTCTTCTTACTTAAGCGTTACATTGTAGTAATGCAATTTGTTCATAGTCAATTCCTGGGATTACCTTTTTTTACGTTTTTGAGTTAAGGCAAGATTTGTTCCCTTTTTCTCTTTTGTAATTACAATATATTGTAATTGGTTTGTTTCCTTAAGGAGTAAGGTTTTTATGTCCACCCTCTTAGGATTGAATTTAAAACATAATTAATAAAATTTACAGTGGCCACCCCTCCATCGGGAGTAAATTTAGGGGCTAAGAAAATAGAACATAGGAACAAGAAGCTTCTAGAGTAGATACACTTGTGCTCACATGTGGATCTCAAGGAGAAGGGTGAGAACTGAGACCCTAGGATCTTCCCAATGACACATGGCAATACCCTACTTATGCTCTCTTGATCTAGATCTAACTGAATAACAAACGATCCCACTTAGGGAGAGTTTCCTTTTCTCTTACATGACTTCATCTATAAATAGAAGAGGCCCCAAAGCCCTCCTCACCTTAGTCTTATTGCTTCCTTGTGTAAGCTCTCTCGAATTTTTCTCTCAACCTCCATTAAAGGCCCCTCTACAACTCTTCCTCCCCCTTCCTCATTGCATAGAGTCATCTACTATCTTTTAGGTAGACCTCCTTGGTTGCCTTACCATCCCTGCCTACATTATAATCTCTAGTAATTTTCTTGATCATGGTGACTACACGAAAGATCAACTTCACCACCATCTAGAGTACTCCACCGAGAACATTGAACATAATGAAATCAAGACCCAGTCCAACTTTGAAGATGGCGGAGAATTGAAAATCCTTGCTGATAAGTCTATAAACAGAGGCACCACATGCTGATCCTTCTCTAGGTGAAGAGATGATGGACCATTATCACTACTACTACCACCCCCACTTTTTGGTTGTAGCAAAGCTTAAGTTATTTTGACCATGAATAAGTTAATTGAAGATAGGATAATCAAGCCATGCCAACCACCACCTATGTTGATGTTTGATAGTGTATACCATTAGCTCTAATCAGATTGATGTACATATACATTTATCATTAAATTAAGGTGTCGTTTGATTGAACTTTTTAGAGGTCTGAATCTGAAAATGCTACTTCTCAGACCTCACCCTTTGTTTGGTTGTACCTCTTAAATTGGGTCTGAAGTTTTCAGATTTGAAAATCATAGACCTTGGGTCGGATCTTAATGCGCTCATATGCATTTCAGAGCCGGCACAATGTCCAAAATATCCTTACAATTTTTCGTAAATGACTCAAGTTACCCTTGATACCCCCAAACCTAGAAAACCTAAACATTCGACCTCTCTTTCTCTCTGGCTCTCTCTCTCTCTCTCCCTTTCTCTCTATCTCGGTCTCTCTCTCTCTCTCCGCCCTATCTTCCTGCCATTGTCGCTGCAACTTGCAGCGGTGACTCTCTCTCTCCCCCTATCTTCTCTCTCTCTCCCCTGTCTTCCCACCACTGCCACCGCCATTGTCTTCTCTCTCTCCCCCCTGTCTTCTCTCTCTCTCTCCCCCTGTCTTCCCGCCACCACCGTTGCAACAAGTAGTAGTGGTGGTTCGGTGAATAATAATAATGATTTTATTAATTATTAATTATAAATTAATTTTATTAATTATTTCAATATTTTTTATTAAACATTAATTATTTTTATTAAATTTACTTGTGTTATTTATTAATTATTAATAATTTTTATTAACTAGTAATTTTTAATTATTTCATTAAATTTTAAAAATTATTTTAATTTTTATTTGTGTAAATTATTAATTATTTTAATATTTTTATAATCATTAATTAATTTTTTTTATTTTAATCATTTCATTTATTAATTAGTAATTATTAATTTATTATTTATTATTTGTATTATTTCAATATTATTTTGAGGTTGAAAATTATTTTTTATGAGATAATGTAAATTGAATTCAACATTTTCAAATTGTATGTTTTAGGGGTAAAATAGTAAAATCAGTAACTTTTAG